CATAAAGGGCGTTATAAATACGCTACCAGCTGCTGGCTTTCTAGAAACCTCTCACGGAATGACAGATGAGTCATAGAGGGAGAGGGGAAACCTACTAATTGGATGATTGCTATCAGGCACCTTGTTTGCAATATGCAAATACCCACAACGTTGATGATGATGATGATGATGATGATGATGATGATGATGATGATGATGATGATGATGATGATGATGATAATAATAATAATAATAATAATAATAATAATAATAATAATAATAATAATAATAATAATAATAATAATAATAAAGTTGGAAGGGACCTTGGAGGTCATCGAGTCAAACCCCCTGCTCAGGCAGGAAACCCTACACCATTTCAGACAAAGGGCTGTCCAGTCTCTTCTTAAAAACTTCCAGTGTTGGAGCATTCACCGCTTCTGGAGGCAGTTGGTTAATTGTTCTAACTGTCAGGAAGTTTCTCCTTAGTTCTAGGTTGCTTCTCTCCTTGATTAGTTTCCACCCGTTGCTTCTTGTCCTGCCTTCAGGTGCTTTGGAAAATAGCTTGACTCCCTCTTCTTTGGGGCAGCCCCTGAGATATTGGAAGGCTGCTATCATGTCCCCCCTCGTCCTTCTCTTCGTTAAACTAGACATACCCAATTCCAGCAACCGTTCCTTATGTTTTAGCCTCCGGTCCCCTAATCATCTTTGTTGCTCTTCTCTGTACTCTTTCTAGAGTCTCGGCATCTTTTTTACATCGTGGTGACCAAAACTGGATGCAGTATTCCAAGTGTGGCCTTACTAAGGCATTGTAAAGTGGTATTAATACTTCACGTGATCTTGATTCTATCCCTCTGTTAATGCAGCCCAGGTACATGATGGAGGTACAGCATAAGTTGTCGCTTTTCTGAAGTGGCCAAAATCACATGGATGACCAATAATTGAAACGACCTTGCAGAAACTAAGAATATCCTACGGTAGCTGGGGAAAACTTCACACAGTACCCCGGGGACTGGAATGACTTCATGTAGTAGGCTATGGAGAAGGGCTTTTTAGCAGAAAAGCCTCAGCAGATGGCAGCATTGGGTGGACCTTGTATGAGCTAGGCAGGGTCAGCAATACCAATAGCACTTAGACTTACATACCACTTCATAATGCTTTACAGCCCTCTCTACATGATTTACAGAGTCAGCCTCTTGCCCCCAAACAATCTGGGCCCTCATTTTACCGACCTCGCAAGGATGGAAGACTGAGTCAACCTTGAGCTGGTGAGATTCGATGTTTTGATGTTGTAACAGAAGTGGGCCTGAGATCTACCAGATCTACTGTAGCTAGAATAAGTAACACAGATTACTTAGGCATATTTGGCCCTGGTTTTCAATACAGTGAATGAATCTTTCTGCAAAGATCCACGGAAATGTCTTGGCTAATTCAGTTCAAACAAGAAAATGGTGGATTTAGTTTTGTTGAGTAGAGCTTTGCCATCTCACAAAGAAGAGTTTCAGGACAGGACAAGAAGCAACGGATGGAAACTAATCAAGGAGAGGAGCAACCTAGAACTAAGGAGAAACCTCCTGACAGTTAGAACAATTAACCAGTGGAACAACCTACCTCCAGAAGCGGTGAATGCTCCAACACTGGAAGTTTTTAAGAAGAGACTGGACAGCCGTTTGTCCGAAATGGTGTAGGGTTTCCTGCCTGAGCAGGGGGTTGGACTAGATGATCTCCAAGGTCCCTTTCAACTCTATTATTCTGTTAAGTTAAACTGCTCGCAGCCAGGAGTCAGCAGAAGTAGTCTGCAGTACTGCATTCTAACCACTGCACCACCAGGGCTTGGGATACATCGAATAAAAGAATTGGAAGGGACCTTGGAGGTCCAGGGGTCCCCAGCTCTTCTCCCCCCCCCAGGCTCCACAGCTGGAGATGGGCGAGTGAGCGAAGTTTCCTCTGTATTTGCAGCTGCTCCCCAGCACTAGCATCACTGCCTCAGCTCCACTTTAGATCATCAGGCATTAAATTGTCTCAGGAGCGTGAACCCTACTGTAAATTGTGCATGCGAGAGATCTATCCTGCTCTATGGAGTAGAGCAGGGATAGTCAACCTTGGCTCTTTTATGACTCGTGGACTTCAACTCCCAGAATTCCTGAGCCAGGAATTCTGGGAGTTGAAGTCCATGAGTCATAAAAGAGCCAAGGTTGACTACCCCTGGAGTAGAGAATTGGTCTCTGAGAGAAGGCCACCTGAAGAGACTAGAAGCATTTGAAATGTGGATTTACAGATGGCGGCTGTTACGTATAAGCTGGGTGGACAAGATCAGAAATGAGGAGGGGATAAGCTGCCTGGGAAAGCCCAGGGAAATCATCAAAACAATTAAAAAATGAAAATTAGAATATTTCGGACATGTGATGCGACACCCAGAAAAATACGGCATACTCCATTGAATCCTCCAGGGAAAGATTGAAGGCCAACAAGGTCCAGGCAGAAGAAGAAGATCGTGGCTTCAAAATCTAAGGGACTGGCTTGGACAAAACTCAGCAGCACTTTTTTGTGCGGCTGCTGATAAAAACAGGATCGCCAACATGATTGCCAACCTCTGATAATGGATATGGCAGAAGGAGAAGGAGGAGGAGGAGGAGGAGGAGAAGGAAGAAAGAAGAAAGAAGAAGAAGAAGAAGAAGAAGAAGAAGAAGAAGAAGAAGAAGAAGAAGAAGAAGAAGAAGAAGAGGAGGAGGAGGAGGAGGAGGAGGAGGAGGAGGAGGAGATCTAGGTTGCATGCTTCTTTCTCTCCCCCCTCCCTTCCATGGAAAAAGTGTCTTCCACGAAACTGGTCCCTGGTGCAAAAAAGATTGCGGACTGCTGTTCTAGTCCAACTCCTTGCTCAAGTAGGAGACCCTATTCTGAATGGCTGTCCAGTCTCTTCTTGAAAGCCTCCAGTGATGGAGCACCCACAACTTCTGGAGGCAAGCCATTCCACTGGTTAATTGTTCTCACTATTAGGAAATTTCTTAACATCGGATCTCTCTTTAATGATCTTCTACCTGTTACTTCTTGTCCTGCTTTCAGGTGCTTTGGAGAATAGGTCGCCCCCCCTTCTTTGTGACAGCCCCTCAAATATTGGAAGATTGCTATCATGTCGCCCTTAGTCTTTCTCTTCATTAAGACTAGACATACCTAGTTTCCTTAATCCAGAGGTCTTCAAACTTGGCCCTTTTATGACTTGTGGACTTCAACTCCCAGGCTCTAGAAACCACGCAGTGTTAATACAGGCCGTGTGTGTCTATAATAATGATAATGATGATGATGATGATGATGATAATGATAATGATGATAATAATAATAATAATAATAATAATAATAATAATAATAATAATAATAATAATAATAATAATAATAATAATAATAATAATAATAAAGTTGGAAGGGCCTTAGAAGTCATCGAGTCCAACCCCCTGCTCAACCCCTCTGTGTGTGTGTGTGTTGTATCTGGTGCATCTCACCCCATCACTAACCACCCCTGATCCGGCTCGCTTTTTGATCAGCCAAAGATGCAATCTATAGCAGGACAAAGGCAAAAAGAGGTAAGGATTTGGTAATTCCCTGTCTGATCTCTTTTCAGCGCCTTAACCGGAGCCTAATCCCATTTAGTTTTTCAGGCTAAGAGAGGCAGTTGATTTTTGTATTCATTTTCCTGGGGAGTTTTGGCTGTTTGGGGCACAGGTTGCTGTGTTTGGTGTTAGATCGCGCAGGCAGTAAGACACAAGTCGAGTGACAGTCAGCTCTCGGTTTATTGGCAAGGCATAAAGTAAATCCGGACTGGCATCTGGGCCAGGGGAGCCCTCTTTTATGGGATTCCCCTGGCTTGTAATCACACAATTCCATTGGCTGGCAAGACCCTGTTGCTAGTTAGCCAACCAGCAACGAGCATGAAACTGTATGCAGATGGAGAAGGGCAATCACCCTTAATGGGCGATCAATGGTGAAGGGCAATCACCCTTAATGGGCGATCAGGATATGCATAGGGGATTAAGGGGGGGGGGAATACAAAGAACACAACATTTGGGATGGCCGGGATGGAATAAGGATACAGCCGGTGGATCATTGATCTCATTGCCTAATCATCTCACCGGACACATTTCACAACAAACCCTTGAAAAACAACAAGCCGTCAGGCAGTAAATCAACGCATCCAAAATACTTTCACTAAATAAACCGATTTCAGCCCATTAAAGGCAAAAGGGCAAGAGGTCAACTCAATGAAGAACAACGGCAGCAACATCAGCAACTTCGGTTCCCTCCGTTGCTCCAAGCCGACCTGTTGAATTCCATCTTACCGGCAGCAGCAACAGCAGCATCTGTTAACTTTTGTTTTCTGTAAGCAACCTTGCGGCAACGCCAAACTCTCCAAACCCAACAGGGCCGTCGCTCTCGACTTAAGCCTCAAATTAGCCGGGTTCACGTGTCAGGCTGAATTAAAAAGCGGGCAACTCACACCGCGGCTTAGGCTAATGACCGGATTGGCAAAGCCGCGCCAAGGGGGAGGCGCCGGGCGAGGTCAACCGCTCCTTTCGGGGCGTTTGTTTTCCTTGCCTGGGGGAAAAGAGAAGCAAACGGGGCTGCAGTGGCTCAGCTGCAGCCCAAGGAAACCCGGGAAGGTAGCAAAATAGGATCCCGAAGGCTGGGTAGGGACCCCCAAGAGGTCTTCTAGTCCGACCTCCTGCATCAAGGCAGAAGACCTTATTATTCCATCCTGGTCAAACGGTGGTCTAGTCTATTTTGGGGGG